AGTCATCATTTCACTCTGAAACACCCTCCATTGCCAAGCTCGATTCCAACTGAACATGTATATTCATGGAGTTCTATCTCTCTTATTAGGCATTGTTAGCTTTAGGTTTTTGAAGAAAACATGTCACAATCATAGCCCTGAACATGCTCATATGATTAGATTTCATTTATGTTTCGTGTGCTTAGAGAATTTCATGTCTGAACATTGATGAAAAGTTAGGTCAGAAATTGGGGGAGGAGAAATTCTCCCTCATCTTAGAGAGATAGGTCAAGTTATTTATATGGTTGAAACTGTCTCTTCATGCTGAACATTTCTTGTGTTATGAGTTTTTGCTGAAAAGCCAAGAATCAGGAGTTAGACATTGAGGAACAGGGGCGCGCGTTTTTCAAATGTTTGAAGCTGGAGGTTGAAGACAATGATCAGTGGGCTGGGCTTGTGTTATTTCACTTTTCACACCACCTTTTTTGATTCACACCCCCCTGAGCCCATTTGTTCATTTCTTAACATTTTTGACTTTTTCTTTTTTGATTAACTTTGTTTATTTTTTCTCATGACATTTAAAAATTAAAAATATTTTTTCCATCATTTTTGTATTTATTTGCATATTTATTTGTTTATTTCTTTTGTTTGTATATAAAATATATATGTACTATTATTAGAATAAATAGAAAATAGTGTAAATACAATTTCTATTTTTTTACATTCTAAAAATATTTCACACAAAAAATACTCTTTTTATTTATTTTATTAAAATATTAAATAAATATTTATCTTTGTGTATAATACCTATTTAAGGTTTAATATATATATATATATATATATATATATATATATATATATATATATATATATATATATATATATATATATATATATATATATATATATATATATATATATATATATATATATATATATATATATATATATATATATATATATATATATATATATATATATATATATGTTTATTAATATATTTAAGCTAAAATATAAAAAATACTTGAGTTTTCCATTTTTATTAAATATTTGATACAAAAATACTTTTCCCCATAATATACTTCATTTTATTTTATTTTTATAAATAATAAATAAATAGTTGTATTAAATTAGATAATAATGCATTTTCTTTAAAATTAGGGTTTTTGCCCTAAATTTAAAATACTCAAAAAATAATACATTTTTATTTTCTTTTCTCTTTTACATAAAAAATATTTTCTCATACACATAAAAACTTTCTTTTGGCATTTCACATATTTATTTAATTTCCATTTAATTATGCAATTTATTTACCTTGCAAATATTCAAATGATGTAATAATTTAGATTTAAATTCTTGTCAATATCCCCATTTGAACATTTGTACCCCCCTTCCCATATTTGGTTTTGTAATAGCTTAGTAATTTTAATTTCGCACCTTATTGCTTTCTAATGATAACATGCTAGAATTAGGGTTTGTATGCGAAAAACGATAAAAAATAGTTTGACCTAATACAAGATAAACAAGCATGAAAATGGACACACAAATCACACTTGCACCCCCTAGGGTATTCCACTTGTTGCCTTCAAATAAATGGGCCATATTGTATGTTGAACTTCTTTGGGCAAAGCAAACAATTTGAATGATCATAGTCCCTCGACAAAACTTTTCAAAACAAACAAAAACAAATGATCAAGTCCCTTAAAGAAATTGCCCAAAGACATTTAACGTCGTTACAATTATGGTCTAAAACGATGACCCGCGCCTGTCCCTTTCACATCCTAACACAAGGTTTCCCACCAAATACAATGGTGGAGCAAACTTGTTAAAAGGGTTAAAGTATAGCAATGATCTTTTGAGAAATTTAGGAGTAGATAACCTCTTAGTTACTTGAATCAACTTGCAAAGCAAAACACTTGCCTAATTTCAAAATCACACATCACTACACTTTCAAAACAACTTTCAAAAACAAATGAAAACTTTTTCAAAAGACATACATCTTTGTATACATCCCCACATGGATCATTACAAAGGTTGCCACCACATTGGCCTCTTTTCAAAACATTTTCAAACCCACACACTCAAGCACCATTTAAAACAATTGAAAACAAAAGGCAAGTGATCTAAGCAAGTAACTAAGAGCCCATGGATAACCATGGATAGAAAGGGTGCTAATACCTTCCCTTTCTATAATCTACTCCCCGAACCCAAGAAAACATCTCAAAAGGTTTTTGCTGTGCTTTTTAACCTTTCCTTAGGATAAAATAAAAAGTCGGTGGCGACTCTTGCTAACCGCAACATTTGCGAATACAAACGCAAAACCTCAAGTCAGTTCTCCCACCGTATCACACCATGTTTAGGACTCCGGTTACCTTCTTTGTCTTCTTTTTCTTCTCCTCAGCTAGCAAAGTCTTCAACTCCTCTTGTCCTTTGGCTAGGGTCAAGAGCAACTGTTGAAACTGTGTATTCTGGGTTTGGAGGTCTTTCACTGTTTGCTTGAGATCCATCTTACTGAAATAAACAGTAGAGAGATGAGGAGACTTGTTGCAAAAGACCTGCTTATGTTATGTTGAATGGTATATGCATATGTAATGATTTCAAAGATTCAAATTTGTTTTAGACAAAAAGGAAACACACGTTATATTAATAAATTAAAGCTTGAGTACATCAATGCCTTTTCAGGCAAAATAATACAAAAACTCTAAGATAAAAAGGTAGTTTGCATCCTATTTAGTGCGATGTAGGCATTGAGAGTCTGTTCCTCATGAAGTATCCTAGTGAGTTCCAAAACCTTCTTCTCGCTTGCGTAGAATTGGGCTTCGAAAGTATCTCGCTCTTCTTTGAGTTGTATCCAATCTCTTTGTAGGTCTTCAAGAGAGGGGGGCATATCTGGATGTAGGATAGTGTATGGAACATCTCCTTCCATGACAGACTAAATGATTACCAAGAGAATGGAGGGGTAAGGCATCATAAGACTCTAAGCACGAGTTCGTACCCATTTGAGGTAAGGCTCAAGAGGGATGGAATTCTTGTGCCCCAAAGTCTTGCTATCCACCTTATGCAACATCCTCCAAGCTCGGATAAATCTTTGGCGAAGACCTTGATCATTTTTGTCATAGTCAAATACCAAACCTTGAATCATCATCTCGTGCGGGCCATCCCTTCGGGCGTAACCAAACTGTCTTAAGGCTAAACATGGGTTGTAGGTGATACCTCCCCTAATTCCAAGTAAAGGGACATTAGGGAATTCTCCACAACGGTCGACAATGATAACATTCTCTTTGGATCGGGAGCACCAATGAATGTCCGAATGTTTGAGCGTCATCAACCTTTGTGACCACCTTGAACGTTGCTTATTTTTTAATACAGATTGGGGAAGATGCGAAATAAACCATCTTTCCAAGAGAGGAGTGCAACACATAAGGAAACATCTTTTACTCATTGTGCGAGTGTGAAAAGAGTGTAGGATATCTCCTAGCAATGTAGGCACCGGGTTGCGGGATATGAAGATTTTGACGGCGTTGACATCTATAAGTTGGTCAAGATTTGGAAATAAAACCATCCCATAGATGAGGAGAGCCACAATTTCCTCAAAGGCTTGCAAGCCCAAGGAATTCCAATAGCTTTGGGCTTTCTCAAACAAGAACTTTTCTAGGAAACCTTTGACACCACTCCTTGTTTCCCAATGACTTGTGACATCAGATGAGTGCAAGTGTAGAGCTTGAGCAATCTCTTATGGCTTTGGGTCTCTTTCTGTACCGTTGAAAGGTAGTTGATTGAGAATGGGGATCCTCAAGAGTTGGTAGAATTCTTCCAAAGCAGGTACAAGTTGATAATCGGGAAATGTGAAGCAATGGTGTAAAGGATCAAAGAACTGAAAAAGCACCTTCATCCTATCCTCATTTGTGTTGGAGGTGACCAAATTGAGTAGGCGACCATGTCTCTCGGTGAATGGAGAGTTTTCAGGAATCCTTGAAGCTAGCTCCTTAAGTTGTGGAGGGATCATTACAAGGTTGACTTGAATAGTTTTCCTGCGAAGTGAATCCATATCCTACAAAACAAGAACAAAGATGAATCCCAAAAAATCCTTGAAATGGTTAGTGGATGTATACGATCACTACAAGAAAATTAGTGTTTAACGACACAAAAATTGCGACAGTTATGTGATAACTGTCGTAATTGACATATAGAGACAATGTTTACGACAGTTGACACCAACCGTCCCTAATATTTATTTTGCGACGGTATATTTAACCATCATAATATTATTATTACGACGGTAAAACAACTGTCGGCCCCCATTTAACACTTTTAACATTGATTTTTCACCAACAACTAGTCACGACGGTAAAATTAACCGTTCTAAAAGGCATATCACGACGGTAAAGCACCCGTCGCACCCTTAAACCTTTCACGACGGTAAAATTATCCGTCCTAAAATTCATTTCACGATGGTAAAACAACCGTCGCACCAAAAACCTTTAAAAATCTCTTGCTAACTTATATATTTTATCTAATTATAATTGTTATGTATATTTAAGTTCTCTCTTGTTAAGGTTAAGTTTATGCATTATTATATATTCTATGAATTTGATACGACAATGGTGTTATGTTCAATTTAATCAATCAAATAAATTTAATCTTTCATCTTTTTCTCAATGCTTGTTATATTTGTATTATGCTTGAGGAGGATCTATGAGATGTCGAGACGGTCTGATAGGACTAGACCAAGGGTAACTTATGGTTATGCCTCGAAAGACATGACTTTTATAACATGATATATGGATTTAATTGATGTTGAAAAATGATTTTAAGTTTATACCTAAATAATCATTTATCATGAGCGAAAGTATATACATAGAGCTTGACATAATATTTACATATATAGTTGAAACACAATGTTATTGTTAAATTTATACCTAATCCTAACTAAACACAAATTGAGTTGCACATTTCCTCTGAAGTTAGAATTTTGATAAACCCATCTCGCAGCCATTACAAATCGTGTATTGAAGTGAAGAATGCTTCCTCAGCGAATGAAGAAAGCCGTTACTGATAACCCTAAAAAGCTCGCAAACTTGATCGATCTCGTTAACCTTCCTCCCACTCTCAGAGACTTCGTCGGTCAATCTCAGACTTCTCGATTAACCTGTTTCATGCGTATTTGGTCCTACGTCAAAACCAACAATCTTCAGGTTCTGCTTTGTTTTTTCAACTCATGAAAATTGAACCACATTCTAATGTCCTCCTGCATCACTATTCTTCGAACATCTCTCATCTTCCAACCGGTAAGTTTTCTATAACACTTTTTCTTTGTTCTCATCTTCACATATCTCTCTCATTCTTTAACATTGATTTCACCATTGGAGATTCACATGAATCTTAGGGTTGAGCTCTTTGTGATTCAAACATCACAACAAGCATTCATATCGACATTAAACCCAATCACCAACAATAAACCCTAAATCCCCAATTTATTCACGATTCAATGAGCAATACAAGTTATAGCGTTCATAATCACAAGGGGAAAGGGTATCGAGTAATAACACAAAGAAAATAGACAGAAGGGAATAACGATTTAAAACCCTACAACATACAACATCTTCAACATTTGTTGTATTCTTTCCCTCTGCACAATCGGTATTGTATTTATTTCGACTTATTTTAGGGTTTGTTATGTGAAACTTAAGTTTTATGTCTAAAACAATTTGTAACTTTTATTCTTCTTTTCTAATCCAAAGTCTAAACTGAGTTTTTGCAGGAAAATATGGATATTCTTATTGTGAAAGCACAGAAGATTGAGGTAGTTGAACTTAATTGTTGTTGAACTTGTTTCTGCTACTTTAAATCAACCCACTTTTTTATCTGCTCAAGGAATAAGTTTTGTAATCTTATTTTGAAATCTCTGGATGTCAGGTTTTGGATGAAGCGTACTGAAAAAAGCAAAAAAAATTGTAAACTTTTGTTTGACTTCTTCCTAATCTCTTGCAGGGGATAACTATTTCATATATTACTGAAAAAGAGTGGTTTTGAACAGGTTATATGCTTAGTTGCTTATATAAATTTGGTCATTGAACCTTGTATGTTTTTGGATAATTGGATATTGTCATTAGTTTACAACCATATTTTTGATTTTTGATTTTTGATTTTTGTCAAGAGTGACCCTTCATAATACCGAATCTGAAAGTAAGTGATGGAAAGAGAGAGAAAGAGAGAGAGATTCTCAACTACTAGGCTGTGTTTGGCTGTTTCTATCTTGCAGTGAAAGCTGTGAGATTGGGATTGATGGATTTGTGATAGAGTTTAGTGGCTAGAGCTCTGATTTGCCAAAATTGAGTTAGTTACCTTCATAATCAGTTTTAGCTCTTTTAGTGCTTTGAAATTGGAGTTTCTTACCAAGTCCATATATGGTTGACCAAACAGAACCTAAGATTTTTTTTAAGGTGGAACTCGCCTTCTAATTGATGGAAGGACTTGCTTGCTTCAGGTGAAACTAATTTATTTCTACCCTTTAAAAATTTGATTTCTTTTTAAGGTGGCTGAGGTGACTAAACCCCTTTCATATGAAGAATGATCACGATCCATCAAAGTTAATTGGAGAGACTCCATGCAAGCTTCTGAGATATTTGGTTGCAGACGACAGTCACATTGATGCAGACACACCATATGCTGAAGTTGAGGTCATGAAGATGTGTATGCCTCTTCTCTCCCCTGCTTCTGGGATTATTCATTTCAGAATGGCTGAAGGTCAAGCCATGCAGGCTGGTGAACTTATAGCAAGGCTTGATCTAGATGATCCTTCTGCTGTAAGAAAGGCAGAACCCTTCACTGGGAGCTTCCCAATCCTGGGCCCTCCTACAGCAATTTCAGGTAAAGTTCATCAGAAATGTGCGACAAGCTTAAATGCTGCACGGATGATTTTTGCTGGCTACGAGCACAATATTGATGAAGTGAGTAAATTCCTCCCCTTAATTATTTTACGAAATTATTCTGACATTATTTTTGGATTTTATTATTATTCGAAACTTGTATTTGGCTTTCTTATTAACAAGCTAGACATCTGTGTCAGGTTGTGCAAAGTTTGCTCAATTGCCTTGACAGCCCTGAATTACCTTTCCTTCAATGGCAAGAATGCTTTGCAGTTCTGGCAACCCGTCTTCCTAAATATCTAAGAATTGAGGTAAAGGGACACCTTGCCCGTTTTTCACTCTGATTTAATGTTTTCTGACGTGATCTGACCTACCCTTCAACTATTCTGGTTTGTAGTTGGAAGCTAAATATAAGGAATTCGAGATTAATTCAAGCTCCCAAAATATTGATTTCCCTGCCAAATTATTGAAGGGAATTCTTGAAGTGAGTTGATGTTCCTGAATTGCTCATTCTGATATTTTCCGTTTTAATACAAATAAATTCATGGTGGGTGTTTTATACTGCAGGATCATTTTTTCTCCTGTGCTGATAATGAAAAAGGAGCCTTAGAAAGACTAGTTGAACCTCTGATGAGTCTTGTAAAGTCTTATGAGGGTGGAAGAGAGAGCCATGCCCATAAAATTGTACAATCTCTTTTCGAAGAGTATCTCTCAGTCGAAGAACTATTTAGTGATAATACAGGTTAGTGTGATTATTTGATTGCTTGTACTAATTTTATGTGTGCAACTTAATCTGTTATGACCTTTTGACTTCTACCAACCAAATTAGCTTTTCTAGATGATGTTCAAAAAATGCATGATTAGTTGTTTTTCTTATTTAGCTTTTACAACACACTGGAATCAACTATTCGTTGTATGTCTCTGTGCTCATAACAAAAAACCCATCAACTCTTTTATTTTTCTTCATTTTTATGTTCATTTCATTGAACTATTTGTTTATCATTCAACTACTTTTAAGCTAAGAAGGAATTTTTACATAAAAGACGTACAATGTATTTCTAATTATTCAGTTTCCCCGAATATTCATAACAATTCCCCTTTCCCCTGCCATCTAGGCTGATGTAATTGAACGACTCCGTCTTCAATACAAGAAAGATTTGTTGAAGATTGTAGATATTGTGCTCTCTCATCAGGTATACACTTTTATAACATACTCAGCTTGAGTGATTTTCCTCCTGGATGTCTTGTTAACACGGTATTGCAATTATATTAACTGCATTTCATGGGTTTCAGGGTGTCAAGAGCAAAAATAAGCTGATACTGCGACTAATGGATAAACTGGTTTACCCTAATCCTGCTACCTATAGGGATCAATTGATCTGATTCTCCCAACTCAATCATATTATTTATTCTGAGGTTGGTAATGCTATATAGAGGTTTCTTTGACCTGCATCATGTGATATTTTAAAGTGTTACAGTGCCTCTTTTAGTATTTATTTTGTGTATGATATTTTTAATTTCTTTAGATCATTTTGACTCGAATCCTGATTTGTGATCATCTTGACGCAGTTGGCTCTTAAGGCTAGTCAACTTCTTGAACAAACTAAACTGAGTGAACTTCGATCCAGCATTGCACGAAGTCTTTCTGAACTAGAAATGTTTACTGAGGATGGTGAAAATATTGATACTCCAAAGAGGAAGGGTGCCATTAATGACCGAATGGAGGACCTTGTGAGCGCTCCTTTGGCAGTTGAAGATGCTCTTGTGGGCTTATTTGATCACAGTGATAACACCCTTCAAAGGAGGGTTGTGGAAACTTATATACGTAGGCTTTACCAGCCGTATCTTGTCAAAGGCAGCATCATGATGCAGTGGCACATATCTGGCCTTATTGCTACGTGGGAGTTCTTAGAAGAATACGTTGAACGGAAGAACGGGGTTGAAGACAAAACACTGGCGGAGAAACATAGTGAGAAGAAATGGGGAGTGATGGTTGTAATTAAATCTCTTCAATTTTTGCCAGCAATTATCAGTGCTGCATTAAGGGAAGCAACCAATAACTTTCACGATGCACTTAAAAGTGGTTCTGTCGACTCAAATAAGCACGGTAATATGATGCATATTGGACTAGTGGGCATCAACAACCAAATGAGTTTACTTCAAGACAGGTGCAGTTTCGGAAATTAAATACATTTTTTCGAACCTAATTTTTGTTTTTTTTGTTTTTTCTTTGATTTGTCAAAGCATCAATGGTTGTATTGTAGTGTAGCTTAACTTTTTGGTCTTTTGCAGTGGTGATGAAGATCAGGCTCAAGAAAGAATCAATAAGTTGGCCAAAATACTCAGAGAGCAGGAAGTAGGGTCCATAATACATGCTGCCGGTGTTGGAGATATTAGCTGTATCATACAGAGGGATGAAGGGCGTGCTCCAATGAGGCATTCCTTCCACTGGTCAGCAGAAAAGCTATATTATGAAGAGGAACCCTTGTTGCGGCATCTGGAACCTCCGCTATCCATTTATCTTGAATTGGTCAGTTATTTCACGCTTCAAGTTCCTGTTTTATTATAGAAGGTGCAAAAGAAACATATTTCACTCATATGCTTGATCTTTAACTCATTTAATATTTGTCTGATTACAGGACAAACTTAAAGGCTATGAGAATATACGCTATACACCATCCCGTGATCGTCAATGGCACCTCTACACTGTTGTGGATACCAAGCCACAACCAATTCAAAGAATGTTTCTTCGAACACTTCTCAGACAGCCAACCACAAATGAAGGATACTCTGCTTATCAAAGGGTAGATGCAGAAACGTCTCGTACCCAATTGGACATGTCCTTTACTTCAAGGAGCATTTTTAGGTCCTTAATGGGTGCAATGGAGGAGTTGGAACTTAACTCACATAATACCACCATCAAATCTGAACATGCTCATATGTACCTCTACGTCCTACGTGAGCAACAAGTAGATGATCTTGTCCACTATTCCAAGTAATTATTACTGCAAACTTCTCCGTACATATACATATTTTTAATAATACTTATATTCTATTAGCGTAACGTAAAAAAGATTTCATCTCGTTCTTACAATTTTGGATGTTAATACCAGAAAAATCAACATAGATGCCGGTCAAGAAGAAACAACAGTAGAGACAATCTTGGAAAAACTGGAACAGGAAATCCATTCCTCTGTTGGTGTAAGAATGCATAGATTAGGAGTTTTTGTATGGGAAGTGAAGCTCTGGATTACAGCATGTGGACAGGCAAATGGTGCTTGGAGGGTCATTGTAAACAATGTTACTGGTCATACATCCACTGTACATGTAAGTTTTTTAGTTTCTTAAAAATTTAAAGGAAAACTTCCTGCATGCTCTTCCCTCTCAGATTCATGATTTTTAAAATTCAGATATATCGAGAAATGGAGGATGCCACCACTCATAAAGTGGTTTACAGTTCAGTCACAGTAAAGGGTCCACTGCATGGTGTACCAGTGAACGAAAACTATCAACCTTTGGGAGTTATTGACCGAAAACGTCTCGCAGTAAGAAAGAGTAGCACCACATACTGCTATGATTTTCCCCTTGTAAGTTATTTTGAATGAATTTAGTGATAATTTCCCCTTTGTAAGTCAAATTAGGTTATCTGATGAGAAATGCTTCTTGCAGGCGTTTCAAACATCCTTGGAACAGTCATGGTCAATTCAACAGACAGGAGTTCAAAGAGCCAAAGATAAGGATCTCTTAAAATTAACTGAGCTTAAATTTTCAGAGAAAGAAGGTAGCTGGGGTACTTCTCTTGTTCCTGCAGAGTGTCCTCCTGGACTTAATGATGCTGGCATGGTAGCCTGGTTGATGGAAATGTGTACTCCTGAATTCCCATCTGGAAGGACAATATTGGTTGTTTCGAACGACGTTACATTCAAGGCTGGTTCTTTTGGCCCAAGGGAGGATGCCTTCTTTAGAGCAGTAACTGATCTTGCCTGTGCTAAGAAAATACCTTTACATAGATAATAATTTAAATAAAAAATATATATAATAGAAAAAAAAAAAATCAAGACATAAACAAAAGTCATGGCGACAATACCGAACCGTCGTAATCAACAATTAAAAATAATCAACAAAAGTCATGACGGTATCGAACCGTCGCCATAAACAATTTAATTAATTTCAAAAGATATTCACGACAGTATCGAACCGTCGCCATCAATAATTATAAGAAACTCAAAAGATAGTCACGACGGTATCAACCCGTCGTAAACTTGAACGACAGTTTTTGTAACCGTCGCGAAATAGGTTGGGGACACACACTTCTGCGACGGTAAAGCAACCGTCGTGGAAAGCAAATTGCGACGGTTTTAACCGTCATAATCTACAAAAATACCTGTCGCAATCTGCCAATTTTCTTGTAGTGGATGTTCATGATGTTATGTACAAGTATGCATATACAAACAAAACAAATAAATCCTTAGGTTTAGGCTTGCATGGAGTTTTATAGGTAAGTACCCTCTTGAAGTTTAGTTGGCTCAAACCTGTCCTAGTAATAGTAACCGGGTTCTAAGGAGCTCAATATCACTGGTTTGTTTCCTTGGTTATTGTTTCAGCACAAGCCTCTTTAATGGTGACCGAAATATCCCAAGAAACCAAACCTTAATGAGTGTAGTATCGAGTATCTACCAACTTCGGACTGCACCAAAGCCGGTCATCTCACTACATCCTAAAGGTCAAGTTGGTCAAGTAAAGGTTATAAAAGTTCATTAGGGCTTCATGACTTCACTCAGCGGCCCCGTATTCTCTTTGATTAACTCAAAGGCTACCGGTATCCACAAATATGTCGCACTAACGTAGCTACTGCTTAGAGCATGTAGGTATACCCCACATAGTTTCCACAATGTATTGCTACTTACCTATAATATATCCCAAATCCGGGTAGAGGATTTAAACCTAAACTAAGAACCATAATGTAAAGCATATAAGTCAAACAATATAAGCAAATAAATATGATATATCCCTAAGGTAACCCCACTTTTAGAATTTTCCCCAGCAGAGTCGCCAGTTCTGTGATGCGGTGGGAGAACTGACTTGAAGGTTTTGCGTTTGATTGCAAATGTTGCGGTTAGCAAGAGTCACCACCGACTTTTCTTTTATCCAAAAAGGAAAGGTGAAAAAGCACAGGAAATACTTTTGAGATTGTTTCTTGAGTTCGGGGGGTAGATTATGAAAAGGGAAGGTATTAGCACCCTTTTCATCCATGGTTTTCCATGGGCTCTTAGTTACTTTCTAGATCACTTGATTTTGTTTGAAATTTTGCTTAGTGTGATTTTTGAAAGTATTTTGTAAAGAGGCCATTGTTTAGGCAATCTTTGTAATGATTCTTGTTCGTAAGAATGTATACAAAGATGTTTGATCTTTTGAAAATGTTTTCAAGTTTTGTAAGATGTTTTGAAAGTGTAAGTGTTTGTTTTTGAAAATATAAAGGATGTTTTGTTTGAAATGGAGCAAGTAATTAGGATGAATCTACCTACTCAAATGTCTTTCTTGTTCATTTTCTTTTCCTTTGACATTGTTGTCTTACCAATAATTTGGTAAGCAACCCTATCTTTGGATGTTAACGGGACGGGCGTGGGTCATCGTATAACCATGATTAGCAATGTTGCAATGTATCTTAGCATTTTTCTTTAGGGGCTAAGATCATTTTGAAAGGCAACTTAGATAGCGTCATCGAGGGACTATGATCTTGTATTTGCTTGTTTTGGCTAAGATACCTTACATGCATAATATGGTCATTTTGTATAAGGCAACCAAGTGGGATAACCCTAGGGGTGCTTGTATGCAAGTGTGTTGTTTTCATGCTTGATTTAGTCTTGAATTAGGGTTTTGCTAAGTATTGATTTTAGTCTTTCCATACAAACCCTAATTACTAGCATTTGAATATAAAGTATTTAAATTGTGGAAAATAAAAATACTAAGCTATTACATGATTTGTGGGGAGGGGTATAAAATTTGTGAATGAGGATTACAATAATATAAACCTAATTAATTTATTACAACCAAATTGAATATGTACAAATAATTGAATAAATGTATAAAGTACAAATGCAAATGGAAAGAAATGATTTTTGTTTGGATTTTTTATATGAAAGAGGTTTTAACCTAAACCTAATTAGAGAAAATAATTAAATCAAAATTAAATTAACTTAAATTAATTAAGAAAAGATTTTTGAATAAAACCCTAATTCTATTTAGTTGATTAAAAGAAAATAAGTTTAAAGAAAAAAAGTATTTTTGTATTTTTGTCTTGAAAATAATATATGGTGTTGTAAAATATATTTGTCTTTTTTTCTTATATATTAAAATAAATGTATTTTAATTAGTGTAAAAGAAAATAAATAATAACCTAGTTTTAAATTAAATTTACAAGATAATTAGTAAAGATAAATAAAGTATGATGAATAAAAATAATTTTTTGTTTAAGAAAAATATTTAAATTATGTCAAAACATAAATATACTATTTTTATATTTTTTTTATGATTTTTTAGTATTTTAGAAAATATATTTAAAAGGAAAAATGAAATAAATAAATAAATAAAAATAAATGAGCCAGGGGCGCCAAAAGTAGGCAGGAAGGTGAGCTAGCAAAATAAAAAAACAATGCCAGGCCCAAAGGGCCCAGTGCCTGCAAGAAAACATGTTAGAAAGTAAAAAAATATGGAAAATGGGCAAAAAAGGTACCACTAGGTCTTGAACCCAGGTCCCATAGGTTAACAGGCGCGCGCTTTACCACTGGAGTGGCTATACATCCGTTTATATAAACAAAACAATAAATATGTAAGGCAAATTAAGTCCTGATGACTTCATCTTCAACCTCCAGCCGGTGTACCTATAACTTCTTCATTTCTCAACAAAAATGGAAGATGACTGAAACAACCCGGCCGGAACCTGTCATCTGGATGTAATGAAACATCAATGAAGTCGCCACCGAACGTCTTTTATCCCGCCGAAAGGGAAAGGTAAACATCGAGAAAACTTGGAGAGGGAGAAATCACAGTCTTTCGACCGAGAGATCGGGTAAGGGAGTCTGTTACGCGAGGGGAAGGTGTTAGCACCCCACACGCCCGTAGTACTCTATGGTATCCACTCTTGTTGTCTAATCTAATGGATGTGGTCAAATCCTATGTCTATGGCTTAAAGCTGAAAAGGGAATGCATGCGAAATAGAAATAAAAGAAAACAATGTAGGGAAAATAAAAGTTGTGCTCGGTTGGGCCGTACCCCTTTGCCTACGTATCCCTTTTAAGGAATCAGAGCAGCCGTAGTTCGGCTTACATATTTTGGTTGGTTTGTGTTTTTTTGTTAAGACAACACAAAAACAAAAAAAAAATCAAGATGGCAAAACATCAAATAAAACAACAAACAAATGAGATAGTAAAACATCGGCTAAATAATAACAAAGTAACATGTCAAAGATGGCGAAACATCCATAAAACGGATGACAAAACATCACACCTAACAATGATATTGAGGATCAAAGTAGGGTACCAAACATGTGCAATGGTGAAACATCGGCTTCAAACAAATGTGCGATGGCGAAACATCGGCTATAAGATAACAAGATATCATGGTAAAGATGGCGAAACGTTAATAAAGTGGATAACAAAATATCACACCTAACAATGATATTGAGAATCACAGTAGGATAACAAACAGGTGCGATGGCGAAACATCAACTTCAAACAAACATGCGATGGTAAAACATCGGCTAAGAGATAACAAGGTGTCATGGTAAAGATGGAAAAACATCAATAAAACGGATAACAAAATATCACACCTAACAATGATATTGAGAATCAAAGTAGGATAACAAACTGATGCGATAACAAAACATCGGCTTCAAACAAATGTGCGATGGTGAAACATCGGTGTTGTACCCCAAAATTTGCCCTCCCATATTCCTCAAGAAATTGCCAAGCCAAGTCACAAAATTCCCCAAGGGTTGTGCAGGTCAACTGTCTCCTATACAGTCACAATTAGGGTTTTGAGTCTGATCAAGAAAAGGAAGTGTTCAAAGGTCCAATCAAGTCTCATATGCTTACAAACTTGGTCAAGCATCCTCATATCAAGTTTCAAGGCATTCAGCTCAAGATTGCACAGTCAAAACCCTAAATTGCACTACAGTCAACTGTAGGGGCAAAATGGTCATTTGACAGTCAAAAGTTCAAATTTTTGGTCAACATATCATTTTGAAGCCACAAACATCATTTGATCAATGCTTGATCATGATTCTCAAAATTTGGCTCAGAAATCATCAAAGATGCAAAAGTTGCTATATTTGGACAGCTGAAAAAGTCAACTGAAATTGACCAGGGCATAACTTTCACATGGATTATCAGAAAAATTCCATCCAAAACTCATTTTGAAGAGAAAGACATTTCCTACAACTCATCTTCATACTTCAAGTCCAAGAAATGCTCTCACAAAAAGTTATCAATTTCAACATTACAGGTCATTTTCAAAAGTCAACAAAAAGGGACTTTAAGTCAAAGGCCATAACTTGAGATTGGTAAATCAAAATGACATGGGACCAAAGGCATTGGTTAAAGGACTCAAAGACCTTTCCAAAATGTCCAAGAACATGTGAAAAGCTTAAAAATGGAGCAAGTTATGCCTTGTAGAAGTTGGGAAATTTTTGTGAAATGGCAAAAGTCAACTATCCTTGAAAATCCAATTTTTGACAAAAGGGCCCCATTTTTTCCACTTGTTTCATCCTTGTCATGCCACACACGTGTCCCATGATTAGTTTCAAGACCAAATATTGATTTTTTTATTTTATTTAATTTTTGATAATTTAATTCACTTTAAATCTTTAAAAATTCAAATAAAATTTAAAAACCAATGGACTAGTGTCATGTGAACTTGGACAATTTCTATGTATCATGGGCCAACTCAAAAACTCAGGCTAGGGTTAAGTTTCACACTAGGTCTAGGTCTTGGCTAAAAAGAAGGAAAAATGGTCA